TCCCTCTCAAGCCCCCCGACCAGCCCATGTTCGACCCACTCGTCTCTCTCTCGTCCGTTTCGACATGCATAACTACCAGGTTGAGACAGGGCTACCTGTCAATAGCCGGGAAAGTTGCCGTAGAGCTTTCCCCGCCTGTGCTGTCCCTGTATGGAATGCCCTGCCACCCGTCCTCAGCCAGCCACCTGACCGGAAACGGCTGCAAAGTTTCAAAGTGTCTGTCTTCCGGCACCTCCGTGCCCAGCAATGGCACTGGGCCACTGACACTTTGTAAGATGTATGCACATCTGCCCACACACTGCTGCATATTGCCATACGCCTCGTGCCCTGCTTACTCTTTTCTCTGGATCTGAATGTGCACCCCTTACGCAATATATAATTATACTTTATTTAGTTCTCTCCCCCTCTCTTGCCCCCAACCCTCCCCGCTCGCGCTCTCTCTCTCTCCCTCTCTCCCTCTCTCTCTCTCTCTCATTTTTTTAAATACTTTATTTAGTTCTCTTATTTAGTTCTCTTGCTCCCCAACCCTCCCCGCTCTTTCTCTCTCTATCGCTCTCTCTCCTCTCTCTCTCCTCTCTCTCTCTCTCTATCTCTCTCTCTCTCTCTCTCTCTCTCTCTCTCTTACTCTCTCTCTCTCTCTCTCTCTCTCTTTCTCTCTCTCTCTCTCTCTCTCTCTCTCTCTCTCACTCTGTCTCTTTCTCTATCTATATATCTCTCTCTCTCTCTCTCTCTCTCTCTCTCTCTCTCTCTCTCTCTCTCTCTCTCTCTCTCTCTCTCTCTGTCTAAGTTTCTCTCTCTTTCTCTCTCTGCTATTGGCGCGCCTGGTTGTGATGAAGCCGAGACCCAAGGTCGGCAGAGCATCCCAGACCACGCCACCACTCCCCTTATTCATGGCTCACACATGACGGGTTTACGTGGCTCTAGTAAAAAAAAAAAAAAGTCTGCGGAGAGATCAGGGACCATGTTCAATAGGAACGACGAGAGAGCCATCTTTGGCAACTATGGGTTTGGAATCCACGGGTAGAGCGGCAGCACCGACCACAGGCCCCACAGTGGGCCTTGCAATATGAGAGGGCGAGCCGGACACGCGGCTTCAGAGGAGTTGTCTGAACAGCAATAGTGGACACCGCTGCCTGGCACAGAGCCTGAGACGATGTCGTGGGGAGCGTCTGGGAGATGGGGCACTTGTGGACCGCCAAACCTCCGGCACTGCGGAACCAGCGCCTGCAGGAAGAACATTGTCGGCTGCCTCTCTGTTCCGATACACGTTTGCGGTGCTCACCGAGGCATTTATGACGAGGCAAACCACTCCTTGAGAAGAGACGACCACACTCGGCACAAGGTATCCGCAGGGGCTCACAAACGATTTCGGGCGGAGCGGAACTTTGTAAGCGGCCCGCCATTCCCGTCTATCCTTGGCCAAGTCATACCATTCCTCGATGCCCAACACTGCCAGATTCTTCCGCACAGCATCGCGCCACCTTTTCCTCGGGCCGCACTTTGGACGGACAGGATGTAGGGTGCCAAGCAGTAGGTGACACAGAGCACGCTGTTCATGCATTCGCACATCATGCCCAAGCCACTCCATGCGGCGCAATGTCAGCCGGCTGGGGATGTCACGGGCTGTCGCGGATTCCACCGCTCCAGAACATCAACCCTGGTCAGTCACTCGTCCCACATATACAACTGGCTGATACCCATTACGGAACGGATGCAGCGCAGATGGAAAGAGCACAGTGCATCAAGTGCAGGCCTCAACGGCACCCAGCACTCAGTACAGTACAGAAGCAGAGACAACATGCATGCCCCGTACACAAGCCGCTTCGTAGCAAGTGAGAGCTTGCTGTCATTGAAAACCAGCTGGCGCAGGGCTCCAAATGCACGTGATGCACCGGCAATGTGCGCGAACACACACACACGCACGTGCACACACACACACACACACACACACACACACCTTGAATTTGCCCATTGCCAACGGCAACCGACAGAAAGGTTTGTGTCGCTTGAGCGTCGGGTGCTAACACCCTCCTGCAGGTGTAACCCTTCAGCAACTCTTTTCCTTCTTCCTTTTTTTGTTCTGCACATGGTCATTGCTTGCAGACCAGTCGCCATATTTTTTATAGTCACGCCGACTGAGCAGTTGCGTACTCATGACGTAGTAGTGTAGTGTGTCTTTTAAAAGCCGTGTCAGATTTGTACTCTAGACCCTTTCGTCATTTTCTTTAGACATCACATATCCATCTATGTTCTACGGGAGCTTATTGTGAACCCGCTGGGTCGCTCGCAGGGTTCCCATGAATCGTACTTTGTTGTACGATAATTTGGTCCCAGATTATTTCTTTATCCTTTTCGGGTCTTCTTGTTCTGGTTTTCTATTTTTATTTTATTTTTTATTTTTATTTTTTAGTCGTTTCTCTTTGATCTCATTGTCTTTCCATCAAGTGATTGTGGGACGAAAGTTGCCTAAACGATGTCTCCTGTCTGTTGAAAGAACCTTGTGTGAAGTAACATTGAAGAGCCTTACTGGCCAAATTTCTTGGCGACCACTCCAGGATGGCATCGGTAGAATTATACTATGTGGAGGCCACTTTTATCCGCACTGCGTACGGTTACAGTGGCAGTGGCCTGAGGGAGTAAGGCGATACTCGTTTGGGCGGAAGTGCGAGATCGAAATGAACGAGCGGAACAACAGTCTTTGACCCAGCTGCGGGAGGAGTTGGGCAAGCAATATGAGGAGAAGTTGGCCGAAGTAAACGAGAGGCCGAGTCTGTATCTCATGTTGCTGAGAGTCCGCAGAGCAGACAGACGAGTAGTAGCAGTGCTACTGGTAGTAGTGTAGCGGGCCGCAGTCTCTCGGAGGCAAGAACGCACAAAGGTCTCAGTGAACACACTGTAATTGGCAATTGAAATGTACTGGAAACTGGCAATGAAATTAACTATAACTGATTGGCAACTAAATTAACTAACTGGCTATAAAAGAATCGTGCGCAGCAGCTTTGATACAAAGGCAGACTCCGTACGCTAATGTACGGGGATACAGTACGGGGATATGCTATACTCTAATCACTATACGCTTTGAAGTCCCCAGCGTGCCAACGCTACAGTAGTAGTCACGTGATGAAGCGGGCGACAATTAAGATGCCGAGGTATGACAATCGGCAGTCCATAACCACGTACCTCGAGTAGTTCGAGAACGTGGCCATGCAAAATGAGTTTGCAAACGTTGTAAATGTAACACCATGTTGTAAGCGTAACATTACTTCTCCACCAGCTCAACCGCCACCACTGGACTGCCTTTTTACACTCTTTTTATTGTAACAAGCAGGACCACGGAAAACGACTACATCTTGACAAGACGACAGACCAAAGACCAGCTCACACAGTCTCGCGCATGTGCACAACACCAGCAACCAATGACGCGTGTGCACAGCGACCAAGACGAAACAAACACGTGACACCAAAAAAAAACATACCGTCCTCGGTATGACCAAATAAAACACAATACGCAGAGAGACGCAACCGCAAACATCAAAAGAAGACACAGGACCTACACACGTAGCTCCCCAGAAAAAAAGGGCAACCAAATCCAGAAGAAAGAAAGAGAGGTGAATGTTAAAGAGTAGAGAAGAAACACTGCATTGCTTGTGAAACAATACAAGGATGCTCGAGCTCCTCCGCAGTCGACCGACAGCAAGTCTGGCTCTGGAGGGGCGTCAGCGGGGCGCCCTCCCATAAGGCGCCGGTCACACATGCAGGCGGCGACACCGCTTTTGCGGCTGCCTCCAACACGCTGGCAGTGGGCGCTTTTGCGGCTCTTTTTTGCCGGCGGTCACACATGCAAAGGCTTTGGTACGCACGCAGCTTCACGGGTCTCCACAGGTGTCGTAAAACTTTCCTCTTAAAATAACTGTAGCCTCAAAATTCCTTTCCTGCGCTGGTACGGATCGCAGAAACGCCCAGAATCGCCGACTACGTCGTGACCAGCGACTGCGGAGAGCTATGGAGATTGCCTCAATATTCATGTTGTTCAATTTCTCTTCGTTTGAATCTTGCGGAAGCTCCTTGAGCATCGGTGGACGCCTGAGTCGAGTCCCATGTCGGATGGTTGACCTCGAAATAGAGGGAGAGGAGCAGTTGCTCTTGGTCAGCAGTCCACTTCATGACGAGAGATGAAAAACTAGTTTTTCCAAGATCCAAGAGATCCAACAACGACAACGCCGCAAAAGTTTCACTACCGCTTTTGTGTTTCGCCACCAATTTTTTGGTTGTGGCGCTTTTGAGATTGCCGCCGTGGCGCCAGTGGCGCCAGGCGCAGTATCCATGGTGATCCGGGGATATCCCAACTTTCGTGGTGCAGCTTTGGTGGTGTCGCAAAAGCGCCATGCATGTGTGACCGGCGCCTTATGGGTAGGTGAGCTGAGAGCGAGATATAACAGTGTCCCACCCGCCCTCCCATTATGGGTGGGTGAGCTGAGAGTGAGATATAGCAGTGTCCCACCCGCCCTCCCATTATGGGTGGGTGAGCTGAGAGCGAGATATAGCAGTGTCTCACCCGCCCTCCCATTACGGGTGGGTGGATATTTTGGGAATGATTCATTTTTTTAATGTCACATATGCAGGGCTGCCACTTGCTCCGATTTTTCGGAAATCATCCGATTTTTGATCGCCTGTCCGACAAGCTGACCGATTTTGTTCCCAAAGAGGGACAACCGATTATTATATTTTGAGCTCTTTTTAGTCCAGTTGGCCATTCGGCGCTTCCAGGTCGCGTTTGGCCGGTCATTGTACATGTACATGTACATGCAGCTGTAAAATGCATCACATGTAGTAGTCACTGAGAACAATCGGTAGACCAAAACGGACTTATGCAGTGAAGGTACGAATCAGTCCATTCTCAAGTGTATGCCACAGACGGAAAGAAAACGACAGAGACTGAAAAAGTGCTGGGTAAAATTCGTAAGAAAGCGCAGACAGTTAAAACTGGAAAAGTGCCTTACCTCTTTGACAAACAAAATGCAATGCTTGATTACAAGCCAGGTCATCCCACTTGCCTAAATGAACAGCATTGAACATTTTTACACAATTAGCATTGTGGCTAGGTGCATTTGGTGCAAAGTTAAACCAAGTTACTGGTCCATGAGGAGATAGCCATTTGTTTTCTTCACGAGAGATTCCCAGCCAGATTGAAGTTGACGGGTAAAGACTTTCGAGGCAATCATTTTCAGCTTGATTCTCGGGCCAGGCGAGTTCCCCTAACTGTGAAGATCTCTGGCAATGCTCGTGTGCTTCAAAATTGCGCTTTTTAGATGAAACCACCGAATACTCCACAGCGGCCACTGTAGCACAGCGCTGCCACCCTGCATAGATTCAAAGCAAGCACAGGAGACTATTTCAGGACAATTCGAAACAAGTCTCTATAATAATGAGTAGATGTTGGTAACAACCAAGCATGGTTGGATCTCAAACACGTTGGCTTCTTATACCCATGGTTTTTATTACTTTTTAACCTCACCCACTACCACAGCTTTTTGCGGTGAAATATATAAATCGTCTAAAAGACCAGCTGAAACAAGATATCACATCGAGCTATCATAATAGCACTGAGCGCAGCCAAACCAACTGTATTCGTACTCATGCCCAAGCTACCTAGCGATGCTTACTCACTCAGCATCACTGCATGCTCAGAATGGTGGGGAAATCCTCATTCAAATCTGCACACATGGCTATTGAGCGGTATTTGCCGTGATTCGACTTTCGAGCTTCGTACCTCTGGAATCACACTTCAGAGCGCTCAAGCGATTGTTTCAATGGACAGCTGGGGTTTTTCTATGACCTACATATTTTAGTTTTTGGAAAAAACACAGGAATGACTGAGTCTCGATTTCAAATAGGTAAACAGTTTCCTCTGAGACAAAAATGCGATAATACTCATAAAAAGGACACACTTCAGGCTCATTACAAACATCCTGAAAGTTTTTGTCTTCACAAGTATACTTTCAAGCCTTCTCATCAGGTGAAATACAGGCAAGAGAAAAGGAACAGGAACAGTGGATTAAATACAGTAAGAAGGTGGTAAAACAGCGCAAAAAGAAAGAAAGAAAGAAAGAAGATAGCTAAAGTAAACAGCGAAAATTGCAATAATGACACAAAGGTGCAAATGCGAGAAAACTCAATAAGCGCGACATGTAGTGCGACAACAAGAGACAACCACTGGACATACATGTAACTAACGAGGTTTTGACGACCTACCTAACAGCCTAAGTGTGAATTTGATTTGTTTCTGTTTGCAAAGGTTGGGTTTCCTTGTGTGGATGTATACAGCTTCCAAAACATTCAGCAATCTAGCACTGCGTACTGCGTACACGTCTGCCGTGGAGTCCAATTACCATAATGTTCATATTCGCTTCATCTACTCCACGGTGCGTGCGTTCACGGTGAGGAAGGACGTCCTACCTACAGGCCAATTATCCAAGTTGATTTATCACTTCGAGTGTCGGCAATGTGAGAGCCGATATGTAGGTAGGACTCTTCAACATCTGGACGCACGCATCCGACAACACGCACCGCTACACCTTATTCCACAACACGCACGATCCACTCGACCACGGAGGGGACGTCCAGCAAAGAATCATCCTGGTACAAGATGGTCCAACGCAGCGGCATCAACACCAAGGAACGTCACCTCACAATTAACTAGACCACCAGAAAAACAACCGGACAAGACACCTACGTGCGTGGCAGTGACAGGAACCACATCAACCAGAAGAATAACAAGATCGGCAACGGCGGCGATGGCAGCGACTAAAGCACAGACAGAGGCAACGGCTAGGGTCCACTCGACTAGCCATGTGAAATCGGATGTGTCCACCGCACATGCTGATTGTTCTGATGTTAGTTCTGATAAGTATGAGTCGTCCATTGCTAGTCATTTGTTTGAGCATCCTGATTGTCGTGCTGTGTATTCGGATGATTGTTTTTCGATTGTGTCACGTGTACGCAGTGCTAGATTGCTGAATGTTTTGGAAGCTGTATACATCCACACAAGGAAACCCAACCTTTGCAAACAGAAACAAATCAAATTCACACTTAGGCTGTTAGGTAGGTCGTCAAAACCTCGTTAGTTACATGTATGTCCAGTGGTTGTCTCTTGTTGTCGCACTACATGTCGCGCTTATTGAGTTTTCTCGCATTTGCACCTTTGTGTCATTATTGCAATTTTCGCTGTTTACTTTAGCTATCTTCTTTCTTTCTTTCTTTCTTTTTGCGCTGTTTTACCACCTTCTTACTGTATTTAATCCACTGTTCCTGTTCCTTTTCTCTTGCCTGTATTTCACCTGATGAGAAGGCTTGAAAGTATACTTGTGAAGACAAAAACTTTCAAGATGTTTGTAATGAGCCTGAAGTGTGTCCTTTTTATGAGTATTATAATGACTGAGTCACGATCAATTGAAAGTCACTTGCTCCGCGTCAGCAATACTGTCGCATTTCTTTTGACAACTTGAACTTAGACTTTAGCCAGCAACGTGTGCACTTGAGGTGATAAAACGTGGTACGATGGAAGGTAAGGTATGGAATGACAAGTGGCCATGAGGAATTTATTGTCCAAGGAAGGGTTCATACGTTTTTGGTCCTCCTCGTTGGTGCTCTCGGCACTGGTGACAGATATTTTGAAAATGTTCAACAACTGCTTCTCCTCTGATGAGTTCCCCGTCAACTTTATGGAACGAAACAAGACTTGTCAGGAGTAGTACTACTTGGTTCCGTAGAGTGTGGCTGATGAACTGTTCGTGCTGTGGTCTGCAAGCGTCGTGTGGTCTCGTCGGGTCTTTTATCTTTGACCCCCTCCCCCCTCCTCCCCCTCCCCCCCCCCCCCCCCCCCGCTCTGGAGGTTCCGAGCAACCATTTATGTTTTTCTCGGTGTGCTTATGATTTTCGTGGCACGCGACCCACTCACCAAGGTCACTTTCCTGTATGCGTGAGTTTGCGCAAGTTAACCAACGGTATTCCAATCGGGTTTTGTATAGCAGCCGTCCTCGTCACAAAGTACTTACTATGCGGCTCGGAGATTGAGCTTGGGGTCTTGGAGCAGATGTAGGGTGATGCCGTGGTGCATGGATAACTGGACCAATGGCCTGAGTAAGTGTCTGTTGTAGATATCCGGATCCGCATACAGTTGTGAGCAGGCGAATAGCCACATGAAAATTTGGTATAGTTGACTGGTAGGCCGAGGAAGTCCCATCTAAAAGCAGACTTGCTTGTTGCCCGGTACAGGCCAATCCAAAATCCACCACCAGTAAAGTTAGACCAGTTGTCGGCCATGTACTCCGCAACAAAATCGTTCTTGGCTTGCGTGTTGATGAGGCCAAGGCGGGCATTAAATACCCTGCACTTGCGTTGCGCAGTGGGGAAGTCCACCTTGTCCTGCGAGAAATAATAGCACTGGCCTTGGAACCATACCCAGCCTGGTTTGCAATTACCTTGGGTGAAGATGAGAGCATTGCCTGTAGACAAGACATCAGTTTGATGACCAGGCAATTAAGATTAGAGGCACATGGTACACAGGATCCACTCAAAGTTGCGCTAGCGATGATGATAACAATCTTTAGCCTTTTCAGCCTTTCCCCCAAAGACGAGATAACTCGTCCTGAAATAACAACCCTGAATGGCCAAGGACGAGATAAACTCATCACGCACACCGAGCATATAGAAATGAGCACAGAACACAGTACAAACAGCTATAACTTCGGCCTCCCTACTTTAAATTCAAAATATGACGGCTTATTGGAAGGCTTTCCAATGATTTATCATTCTATATAGAACGGAGTAAAATACGCAAGCTCCGAAGCTCAAAGTTCGTGGATGTACAGGTCAGACCTCGCTATAACGACCCCCGCTATAACATAAACCTCACTATAACGTACGGAATGTGAAAGTCCCTGCCGAAACCGCATCACTTCTGTAAAACATTTCCTCGCTATAACATAATCTGCTATAGCGGAATGTTCGCTATAACGTACTGTTTGCTGGGTCCCTCGCGCATGGAGACCTCAGCATAAGGTAAAAAGTCGTATAAAAATGACTTACGTACACGGTATGCATGCGCTTCTCCCCACGAGTTCGAGGCTGAGCTGTCCACCTCGGAAGCAGGGAGTAGTAAAATACCGGTTACCTCCTACACGCTACGTACAAGTCAAATGCACCTGAAACAAGGCTGCTGTCATTGTAGAAGGAAAAGAAAGCTTTCTCAACACTCTTGTCACCCCTTTGCTGACAAGCCTCTACACATCTTTGCTAGTTTACATCATACCTGTATGTAAAGCATTATAATAATCAATGAGTGAAGAGCATCATTTTGACATACATATTGCATATTGGTGTGCCCAACTGACTATAACATAAACCTCGCTATAACACAAATTTTCCCATCCCGCAGAGATTACGTTATAGCGAGGTCTGACCTGTATCTGGCTTGGCCCACCATGCATTCTAGTCTTGGAGGTTCTTCCCAGCCATGTCAGGGCCGGAGGAACGAGTTTGCGAGTGGTCCGGCCGAAGTCCAAGGGGGGTCCGGGGGATCTCCCCCGGGAAATTTTTGAGAATTTAAGTGAAAATGAGCCAATTTGGGCATCTCGTGAGAGAGATAGGCAGATGTGACGGATGGAACTATATACAATTAGTAACAATTAGGCATCAGAATTGGGAAATTATTCGGAAAATTTACGTAAATATGAGCCAATTTGGCATCTCGTGAGAGAGACAGACAGATGTGACGGATGAAACTATATACAATTAGGAATTAGGATTGTTCTGGAAAGATGTCTATTGAAACTTTCCAAAGATGTTTAACCGATGCTCATTGGCGGCAACGAAATCATCACCACATTGCCGCAAGCTGAGCAAATCTGCTTTGTCCTTGTGGACATGCAGCAGAAGCAAAGCATTAAGGCGAGCCTGGGCCATTGTGGTGCGGAGATAGGTTTTCAGTCGTCGAAGAGCTGAAAATGACCTCTCGCTGGTGGCATTGCTTGCAGGCATGACGAGGATAAGCTTCATGATGGCAAATATCTCCGACAGTAGTTCCCTACCTCTACCAAGGTTGAGGAGGGCTGTCTTGATTGTGCCAATTGAGATGTTTCCACCTCCTGTGCATAAGGACTTGAGCAGCGGCAGTTGTGTTTGCAACAGTGGAACATTGATGTCCGTGGCATACATGTCCTCAACCCGTGCCAGCTCAGCACTGTAATCATCTCCATTGGCAGCCTTCAGGACAACTCCCTCCAGGCAGCTGTACACTTTGTACCCTGGCTGATCAAATCGCTCTTTGATGCATGCCATCACAGTATCAATGGCGGCAAAGTAGATAGGCTTGTAATGGTCAGCAGGGCTTTCAGGATAGTGACCCGGGCCGGTGCCGACAGCAAAGCGAGCTGGTGTCTTCCGCTTCCTCGCTAGAACCGGCTCATCCACGTCATTGGCTGACTGCACTTTGACAACGTCCGCCCAAAACGTGTCAAAGGATGTATCATTCCGAAGGCTTGTCAGGGATCGCAGAGTGACGGTTGCTGCTGCTTGACCTTCCGCAGCAGAAATATCCTTCTTCTGCAACGTCTTGCTCAGGTTCTCGGCAAGGCCAAGAATTTTGCGTCCCAGCATAACTCCAAATAGGAAACTGAACAGCGAGAACTGGTGTGCAATTCCACTGACACGAGCTGACATCTCGGCATCATACGTAGCCATTGACTCAAACTCGGTAAGGCTGGCTTGCAGGACGGAGTAGTTGCTAACAATGCTAGCGAGGGAGGCTGAGCGAGTGGTCCATCTTGTGGGGCATAGCGTTCGAAATCCTGCTTGGTCAGGAGCCATGTCATCCTTGAGCCTTTGATATGTGGCATTGCGCTTCGCAGAATATTTCAGAAGTTTTGACAACTCAAACACGGTGTTAAGACAATCCTTGATACACTTGATGTCTCGAACCATATCCTGGCAAGCTAAATTTAAGGCATGCCCGTAGCAATGAGTGTATAACGCTTTGGGGTTTATCTGTAGTAGCTGTGCTGCGACTCCATTTCGATGCCCTCTCATGACAGATGCCCCGTCATAACATTGTCCACGGCAGAACTCTAATGGTAGGTTGAGTCTTGTGCACACGTCCTTGATCATGCCAAAAATCGTGGCTGCATCGGCTTTCTCCAGCGCATACATGCCAATAAATTCCTCGTGTGGTTCCAGCTGGTCATCCACCCAACGAAATACGGCAGTCATCTGCTCAATAGTGCTAGAGTCGGTAGTTTCGTCCACCATGACTGTGAAGAACTGACCCTGCATTTCCTCGATAATTCCACGCAGTATCCTGTGAGCCATGACCTGCAGGATCTCATTTTGCATATCATGGCCAGTGTATTTGCTGCTTTTGCGTTGCAACCACTCTGCAAAAGCTGGGTCACTGGAGCTGGTGAGCTTTAGAAGCTGACTGAAATTGCAATCTTCTTCCTGCGGACCATCACCACGCATGGGAAGTCCTTGTCTAGCGAGGAATCGAAGAGCAGACAGAATCTTCAGGAAGGACTCCCGGGCAGCCCTTTTGTCCTCCGCAAGTTTGGACGACAAGAGTTCACCCACGTCTTTCGTGGTGGCAGGTACTGTTAGCAATCGTTCTACAGCTTCGCGGTGGCACTCGGACGACTCGTGCCTCCTGAAGCTTGTTGTCGCATCCTTCCAGTTCTGGAACCCCTTCGTCAGAAACGCACCATCAGCACAGCTAGCGATCAAAAGTTTCTTCGAAACAGCCAAGCAGCAGGTATGGCAAAACGCACGCTCGCTCTTTGAATCCCAATGTAGCCATTCCCAAGAGGAGAACCAACTCGGCTGAAAGGAGCGGCACACAACATTCTTCACACCAAATGCGACAAGAGGAAACGTAAGGTCACGCGGTTGAAAGGGTTTGTCCTCCACAACTAGAACCCGCTCCAACTGAGCACTCAAGCTCGGTCCGGCATGTTTTGACAACGCCATAACCATGATAACGCCATCAGGATAACGGAACACGAACTGTAATTGCAACTACTCGCACTCGTAGTGCTGGAACGACTGGAGTCAGATGTATCGTGCAAGTGTCATGACATGATATAATTGTAGTCCTAGATCCTGTAGACCGTATACGCGTAGATCAACTACAGTCTACAGGAAGTAAGTTAGTTGCCCACGCGGCTGTAAACTACTCCTACAATACAAGAAGTAACATTTCCGTTGCCCTCAGCAGGCCTGTGTACACGCTACACGTGCCAACGGCCAGTCTTCCGGCCCAAACACGATCCAAGTATCCCAAAGTAGTTGACCACGGATCACGAAGGCAAGCCAAATCTGGGGTCAAGACGTGCATCGTTTTGGTGGTGCGTAGAATCTACTACTACTACTAGATCTACATGTACATGATATGACCTCACGTCGATTTCCATCCTGTCCTCAACCGACTCCCGGGATCCCGATTAGATCGTGAGCTCAGTGTACGTAGGTCTACGTGTATGCTACGCTTGACGGCCAGGGCTAGGGTGTACCGGTATGTAGATATCTCTAACATGCATGCATGCAGTGTAGACATCTACGTGTGCGCACATTTTGTCGAAAGACCGATCATTTTTTCGGCTTCCTCGTACAGCATTCACGTAGATGTCTCTCGATCCGGATCGACGCTCGATCTTGTGCTTTTCGCTCGTTTCCTGTTGACTCGCGTATGTATTTTCGATAGGATGGAGGAGAGACCGATGCTGCAGTGCTTTGGTGGAAGGTGAGGTCGTGCATTGAACGATCCTTGTCACAAGTCCAAGCCCTGACCCTCTGAAATTTTTTACACCGGTTTTGCATGAATCAGGTGGACCACCCAGCTGGGAAAAGTGGTCCGGCCATGGCCGGACCAGCCGGACCGGTTCCGGCGGCCCTGCATGTAAAACGTCTTTTTTTTACTAGCAAACACAGCTCTATTAATTTTCGGGGAAAGAGGACGACTGAAGTGACACTTTCTGTCTGACAACTCTGCATCCAACATCAGACCTGCATACGGCAGTGTCATGGCCGCGCGTTGGCTGTACGCACGACTGTGCTCATATCATTGTGAATTGAAAGTGCAAGCTGTACTGATGTACGGTCTTTATGTACTGAAACAAGGCAAGTGCAGTTTTCAGTGCATGGACTCGGCTACTAAAACATTTTGTGGAAGCAAACAAGCCTTCTTTATGATCTTGGTCATTTTTCTCAATCGACTCTGCGCTTCCAGGTAGATGTGTCCGTGGGGTATTCCCACTAGAACTGGAGTCCTCACGTGCCCCAGGTCGCGTTTGTCAACAGCACTCCTGCTCGCGACTCAACACATTTATTCCATCCGTTGTCATCCCCGCTGCGAGTGGGGAGCTTCATGCCCACGATAAAAGAGAACATCATGATAATATGACCGAATATTGAGTCCTTCATCAGAGAAAGCTATTCGAGCTCAAAACGACACAAGACAATGGCCATGATAAAGATACTCGTATAGATCGCGATGTGACTGGCTTCCAATCCAAGTGCTGCAAAAGTCTGGAAGTATTTTTCAAAACAAGATTTTGAAAAAAGCTGAGCGCTCGAGTGCGGCGAACATGGCCAAACGCCATGTTTTCCTTGGTAACATGACGTCAGCCGCATTATCACCATGGCGAGTTGTAGCGCTGATCTTGAAGTACAGTGGCACCAGAAAAGTGTCCTTATTCTACCTGAGTGAGTTGAATTTGTGTTATTTCAAATAATTGTTTGTGATCACAGTACCGCATCGAGCAGAACTGAATCCTATCCACAAGCTTACTGACGGTCAGGCTGCCCCCATGATTGAACAAATGATCCCTGCACCCACCACACGGCAGACGTCGGACGCCATGTCCATTGCCGGGACCTCCATCTCCAAAAAGAATTCCATCTTCGTCTCGATGCTACACTGCGACTCTTAGACTTGTAGAGTCGTACACTCTACATAGTCGTACGATCGTAGTCACGCGATCACTGAAATAAAATAAAATTCGTGAGCAAATAAACTATTTTTTTCGGGCAAAATCGCATATTATTGGCCCGCGGCGGGAAAGGTGCTGATTCGCTGCAGTACGGGCAACAATCACGTCCCATGTGATACCAAGAGTATAACCCCCCAAGAGTGTGCAACTCTGCATATGGGGTATCCGACGGCGAAAACTCACATCACGTGTCTCAGATACCTTTGTACTACGTACAAACGTAGGATAGCGTGTGCGCAATCCGAAAATCTGCCGTGATCATGCTGGGGATTTGCATACGCGCAGTGAGTTTCTGTCAGAGAGTGCTTTTTTTAGTACTCCACTGCTCGCTAAAAACAGGCTGGAAACGTACAACTGCGACACTGCACCACGTGATGTGAGTTTTCGCCGTCGGCGTACCCCATAGAAAGGGTATCAGGAGTTGCACACTCTTGGGGGGTTATATACTCTTGGTGATACTATATATTATATATATATATACGCTAGAGCGACGAGCTATCTTAATGTCTGTGGTGCCTCCTTTGCACCATGGCTGGTAGCTCGGCCTATTTAGCTCGTAGCTGTACTGATGAGGCCTTTATGGCCGAAACAGCTTGCTGTCTACAGCATTGGGTATCACGCTCCTCGGCTTTTGCCTTGTTGAGCACTCTCAGTAGGCTGCTCAGTGCTGCTGCATCGCGCAATGGCCGCTACTTTTTGTAGTTTGAGCACTCTGGCGCTAGAGCGACGAGCTATCTTAATGTCTGTGGTGCCTCCTTTGCACCATGGCTGGTAGCTCGGCCTATTTAGCTCGTAGCTGTACTGATGAGGCCTTTATGGCCGAAACAGCTTGCTGTTTACAGCATTGGGTATATATATATATATATCGCAGACTGAGTATAGGTTCGGCCTCATTTCCTCTGTGCTGCGCTGACGAGTCCACAAAGGACGAAACAGTTCTGTCCGCAGATTGAGTATTTCGCTCCTGCTCTTGTAGCAGTTGAGCACTCTTGCGTGGGGTAGTGCCTTTGCTGTTTGCGTTATGCAGAGCTCACTGACTTGTCAGTTTGAGCACTCTGGCAAGGTACGTTCGGACCTGATTGGAAATTTTTATTTCCATTGCTATCAGGTTCGGCCTCATTTCCTCTGTGCTGTGCTGACGAGTCCACAAAGGACGAAACAGTTCTGTCCGCAGATTGAGTATTTCGCTCCTGCTCTTGTAGCAGTTGAGCACTCTTGCGTGGGGTAGTGCCTTTGCTGTTTGCGTTATGCAGAGCTCACTGACTTGTCAGTTTGAGCACTCTGGCAAGGTACGTTCGGACCTGATTGGAAATTTTTATTTCCATTGCTATCAGGTTCGGCCTCATTTCCTCTGTGCTGCGCTGACGAGTCCACAAAGGACGAAACAGTTCTGTCGGCAGATTGAGTATTTCGCTCCTGCTCTTGTAGCAGTTGAGCACTCTTGCGTGGGGTAGTGCCTTTGCTGTTTGCGTTATGCAGAGCTCACTGACTTGTCAGTTTGAGCACTCTGGCAAGGTACGTTCGGACCTGATTGGAAATTTTTATTTCCATTGCTATCAGGTTCGGCCTCATTTCCTCTGTGCTGCGCTGACGAGTCCACAAAGGACGAAACAGTTCTGTCCGCAGATTGAGTATCGAAGACTGAGTATATATATTTATTTAAATAGAGAGGTAGGTGAACAAAATTTATATGTAGGACTCAGTGAGCAGTCACGTCTCGATGACCGATCACGATCCCCGTGACCAATCAAACAGTCACAAATCCACGAAGAGCAGTCATAAAGTCACACACCAGTTTGAATCCCGATGACCAGTCAGAAACAGCCGCGACTTTCTCTGTGAACGGTCACAGGATCCACGTCAAAATATTACGACTCAACTGTAGGCATTCACGCGTTCAGCATACTTTTTTCCTTCACAGGTTTCAGAAGTGAGCAAGAAAGATTTCGATCAACTCTCGATCTCCGCGTAGTTTACTTGTAGCTCGAGTCTGGTGTGTGTGGGCTCCTCTCCAAAACGAAGGGTGGTCGAAAATCTTGCAGGCTTCAGATAGAATCTCTTTTGAGAGGACGTTCTGGCTAGTAGGTTGTGCTATTCATCATATTTGAAGAACAAACTTCGTCGTTCAGAAAAGCTATTTCGGAATATTTTCAGTCATGTAATTTTTGCATGCCGATCTTGCTAGAGCAGAGACTGACTTCAACTGATCCAGCATGCAAGCAGCACTCGATTTGTGTTTTTGGAGAGGATGGGTGACAAGATTACGGAGTCAGAAGTGGACATCGTCGACGATGCAGAGACGAAAATATAATGAAGATGGAAATGAAAATATGTTCATTTCCAAGAAGGTACTGAGTACATCAAGCACCTTCGTGTGTGTAGCTCTGTCTTTCTTGTGGAAGACTCCACAGAAAAACAATGTCCAGCTTGTTGAAACTGAAACTGCCTCTCAGTTGAAGTCGTTCAGGAAGACATCTATTCAAGACATCATTGATCCATTCTCAAGAACCATCGTAAGAAATTAAATCAAGTCATGTTTATCGATAAGAATGGCGAACTAGACCAGAGAAGTGTGAGTGTCTTGTTTTGACTGCAGGAAACTGTATTTCAATATTCTGGCTCAACGTAGTGCTTACGCAGTTTACTGCTTCGAACACATCTTCATTTCTACTCCCAAAATAACTCTGTAAAATTTATTGATGCAACATTATGCATCATGGTCTTTCTCGTTGTGCTGCTATAACGTGTATAAGTACATGCATACGAGTACTGTGTACCGTTTACTGTCTCCTTGTCAGTGTTTTTGGGCGATCCTCCACACCTTCATTTGTCTTCCAATTATTAATTTTATAGAAATATTCACTCACTTCAACTTCTTTTGATTGCTGTTGCGAATGTAGCCTGCGATGCCTGCTTGTTAGTGAGAGTGCACCAGACATGTATCGATATGTACCGTACTGGCAATATATGTTGCCGCGTAACGCG